TGTTTTGCCTCAAGAGCTTTCTCTCATGTATATATTTTTAATATAGTGAATTTTATTGTATGTATATTACCCCTCAATGAAAATGTCATGTGCCTTCGGGATCATAGAAAGTTGTCCATGTTCTGAGGGGTTGCGGCTGCCAGTAGCCGGCTAGGCCCCAATCAAACATGCAGAATCATTAATTAGGGTCATTTGTTCTGCTGTAAGCAGCGCAGAGTGTGTAAAACCTGTTCAGGAGAGAATTAATTCGTCTTCCTCCCTGTACTTTTTAGAGTACTCCTAGCACGATTGTCAAAGCCTGCAGGCCTAATGCATATGTTCTAATGGGCTAATTGCTAAGGAGACATTTGTAAATTAATCTCTGACTTGAGCTAAGTGGTTTCCCCTAATGGCTTTAATTCAGTGACTCCCATTCTTGGCCACATATCAGATTTACTGGAGGAGCTTGTTAAAAATAAGAAATGTCCAGCTTCCCCCTCTCCCCAGGCTTGAGATTTTCTGGTCTCAAGGTAGATGAGGGTGTCTCTTTTTCAAGGAAAATTCTTGCAGTGATTATGTCTGGTGGTAGTCACCTTCGTGAGCTCCTGCTTTAAATCCATATCTGAAGGCCCATGTAGCCTCATGTTCATTGAAAGCATTTGAGCCCAAACCTGACAACTTGAAACAGCATCTCTGGAGTTAACTTTCCTGGTTAATTCACCTCCATATTCTCATCCCTGAATCTATCCTTTCCTTGAAGAGCTCCAGTGGCCCAAGGGTGGATGTTATGTGCTTTGCCATGCTGTTCCTCACTTTTATGACCTCTCTGAGACATTTGGAAAACCTTCAGAGCCTACTGAATTTCCATCATGAAGACATGTGAATATTCTCTCTACTTTCCAGTTATCATCAGTCTCCTGGTGTCAGGTGTTAGGGACAGGCATTCTTTTAGTACGCTGGGTGTGTGTGCGCGTGTGTCTGTTCTTGGCATTCTTCTGTGCAAACACGTCATGTTTGCTCTTGGAGTTTTGAAAATAGATGACTCACAAGCATCATTGTTTCAGTGACGTTTATCAAATCAATTTTGTTTTTAGGAAGCTGGAACTCTGTAAATATCACTCAGTACTGAGTATGACTACACAGCCTACGCGTGTTTTCAATAAACCGAAGAATATGGCAGTTAACACCATGCAAAGTAGCCAAGGTGAACTCAGACTATGAGAAGTTAGACAGTCTGGGCAGGCTCTAATGAAGGTCAGCACAAGGTGTGCCCTGAGAGGGCATGTTCACCTTCTCCTCTTGGGCAGACTGTGGTGACAAGCTCTTGTTTTGGACGGTGCTTTGTAAAGTGCTTGGTCATTGTAAGGGGTATTCTGTGACTCAGCTGCTAGAGGGTGTTTTCCTATCTCAGGTATGCTGCTTTTCTTAGCCTCATCTTATGTCTCCGGGGCCTCAGTATCCCTTATCCCTGGGACCATAGAAGCACATGGATGAACTCCCCATGGCTGTCTTCCTACTTAAGGGCTATGAGAGGAGACATAACTTGTAGGAAGAAGGGACGCTCTGAGGAGGATATCGAGACAAGAGCCTCCGTTCCTACCCTTCTTAGCTTCTCAGTTCAGGTATGTTCCACCGAACCAATAGCTTATGTATTGATCATAATGATATCACACAATTGAGCACTGATTAGATAATAGCATAGGATTCATCTCTGTAAGGATTACTCTACAAAGGAGTATGTTTTATGATTCCAAGTGGACTTTTTTCCTTTGTCTTTCTTAGGGCTTTAAAGCATAGCAGATGTGAAGTAAATACTTAGATGATTATTTGGGTTTGCTCTATAACATAACTATTACCATTTTGGCTCAAGTATAATCGTTTTGTAGAGTGAAACTGATTTTTTAGAGGAGGGTGGCAGAGAGGGGAGAGGGAGGGAGGGAAGGAGAGAGAGAGAAACACATCCTTTGCTAGAGCCTGTAGAGGATGAATCTCTGTTGGATTCCTCTTTTCATGGCCAAATCCAAAGGATTGATTTATTTTCTGTAGCACTTGGATCCAGGCTGACAATGTAATCAAGCCTGACATGATAAAGAGACATTTAGCAAGTTTAAAATCACATGCACAGTTGTTTCAGTGTGGAGAAACAGATCCTCTACACATCGATCATTTCATGCCTGGAGGCAGCTGGGTGGGTGGGAGAGCCTGGGCACCCTGTACCTCCTTGAGAGAGAGCCTTCCACCTGAACATGAGGACCCAAACAGAGGCCCACTCAGCAGAATCTTCAGTTCTTGGAGATTTGGAGGTATCTGCCCCCTGGATGTCTTCCCTCCTTTGCCTTACTGGAGGGATGCTGATAGTTGAGTTTGCATCTTAAGAGGATAGCAGGATTCCTTCCCACCTGTCACTGGCTGATTTGCTTAAGTAAGCTGCACACTACTTTCTATCACAGGGACCAGTGGGAGGCACTAGGAGAAATTAGTGTCAGCTACTTTGGCTGTTCCCAAGGCTCAGAAATCATCACAATTGTAGGAGAGTATAGATTTTGGACTCGTTTTGGAATGATACAGATGCCATTTGCAAGGACTTCTTTTCTTCCTTTTCCTTTCTCTCCTCCCCTCCTTTCTCTACACATTCTCTCCTCCCCCTTGCCTTTCCCCTCCTTTCCTCTGCAGCTTTTAATGGAATAAACCTGTGTCCCCACCTTGACCGAGGCTCAGCATTCACACACTCACGTGCACATCCACACATGTAGGCAGTCAAATGACAGAGATTAGTTGTGAATCAGCTGTTTATGAATGAAGAAGAGGTCCTTCCCCTCAGCTCTGGCCACGCCCCTTCCCTTTGCCGCATTTTGAGAATGAGGTCAGGGCCAGGATCTAACTGCTTGTCTCAGAAATAGCAGCACAGATCAGAATTAATCTTAAGCTATTTGTTTTACTGGCTCATTCAGATAATAAAGGGAAAAGCAAGGACTGTTTATGTTTTTTTGGTGTGTTTTGTTTTTGTGCATAACTTTGCAAGGAATGAATGAATGAATGAATGAATGAATGAATGAGTGTGTGTGAAGGGAGAGACTGAGATGAGCTGCCAGAGGTTTTGTACTGGGTTCATGGTAATTACTGACAGGCTGCAGACGTTTCCTTGGATTCAGTGGGACATGTTTTAGTTTTTAAAACAAAATTGAAGAATAAAATAGGCCCCAGTTGTGTCTTAATACTTCCTCTCATGAGGAGAATTTATCAGGTGCTATGAAACCACGTGTTCCTTTTACAGCGTCCAGTTGTTTTACCTGTCAGTTTTTAATGTGCAGCTCACCATCCCTCCTCTGTAGCTCCATGGAGTTTTGTAGTGATTTCAGAGAATATGCAGATTTCATTTTCTGCCAGCCACTGTGGCGCACACAGGCGTACAGATATGTGTGAGTGACCGCCCCACACACATACGCGCATGGCTTAATTTTTACATATCTTTACATAAATTGGAATTTATCTCTGTCCACCAGCTGGTTCCAGAGGGATATTAATAGATACTCTGAGGAGACTGATGCTTCTAACCCCTTTCAACCTGCAGTCCCTTTAGGATACTAGCAGGTCTGAAAGGTATTTGTCGTCCCCTGGCATTGTATGTGGTGGTGGTGGTTACTTTTTGTTCTCAAGGTTAATAATCATTGACTCTTCGTGAATGTTTTATGTTTCCGCATCCTTTGAGTTGGAACACTACTCTCCTCTGCGAAAGATTAAATAAACAAATTAGAATGTTGAGCGAGCAAAGAGGTGTCAGTATCAGCCCAGCCTGCTCCATATTCATTTAATGGACTTTAATGTGTCAGGTATCCTCTGAAGGAGACGCCCACCTGTCTTTTCTATCACAGGTGGTTACTTTTGAGTGAAGAGCGTGAAGGAGAATGGGGGTTGCCATATAGCTGGCCTCATGTGTTTCCTTATTTGGTGTTCTTCACCTAAATGGCTTTTAAAACACTTGGAACTGTGCCCCACCCCCACACATGGATGTTTGTACAAGCAGCAGATTTGTGCTTTTCTTTCCCCCCCCATATTTTATTATAAGTTTGTTGAAACAAATACAGCTTGACATCAACATTATAATATCATCTCTATCTAAAAGGATTTACTACTTTGCCCAGATGAACTGTTAGGTGCTGAAAGAAAAAAAAACTATTTGCTAGATGTTCCTGGCTTCTAGAAATCAGTGGGAAAAGATGTTCTTGATCCTAGAAATAATATGACCTTTAAAAAGTTTTTTACTAAATGTGTTGGGGTGACATTGTTTAATAGAATATATAGGTTTCAGGTGTACAGTTCTATAATACATCATCTGTATATTGTGTGTTCATGCAAAGTCAAGTCTAAAGCTGAGCTTTTCCGTGAGTATTTCTGATATAGAAACAGAAAGTGAATTAGTGGTTGTCTAGGGCTGGGGTAGGAACAGGGAATATCTGCTAATAGGCAGAAGGGATATTACCGACAGGATAAAAATGTTCTGAAACTATACAGTATGGTGATGATTGGAGAACTTGGCAAAATTATTTGAAGTCATTGATTGAATTGTACATTTAAAATGGGTGAATTTTATGGTATGTAAATTATACCTCATTAGAGCTGTTAAAAATTGATATTCCTGTATTTGAGTGCTCTTGGGGCCTAAGTTGCATATAATATGAAAAATTGTATTACTCCAAATTTTTATCTGCTCTTTTCCCACTGAAGTGTATTAGCTTCATTTGGGGAGAAGCTTCACCCTGAGATAACAGGGCCAGATAAAAACCCCGAGCCTTAGGATGCAAGGGTCGGCCCCTATCGCTCTTGGCCAGCAGTGAGGTTGCCACCCACAGCTAGTAAGGAGCCAGCACCAGGGGAGCAAGGGGATGAGGTTTCCAGGCAGGCCCAAGAAAGCAGCTGGCACCGTGTTTCTGAGCTCTGGCTACATGTGTCATAAAATTCAAAAACAAACATTCCCGTGTTGTTCAGCCCTTAAGTAATGGCATTTTCCTCTTGTTTTGCAGGTTGTCTTAGTCTTTGCTCTCAGCATTGGTGCACTTGTAATATACTTCATAGATTCGTCAAAGTGAGTATTCAAATTTATTGTTGTGCCCTCTTTTTCTAACATGATTGTGAGCCTTTTCAATGATCAATGATTTACTTTAACACTAACCTTTGCAAGAGCCTCCAGTGTGTGGAAGACCTTTAGAGGAAGACAGGACTATTTGTGCCAAATTTCTGAATGGGAAAGCAAGCTCTCACAAGGAAGGATGCTGCTGGCTATAAGAGGGAGGGAAGGGCATCTGAGTTCAAGCTGTTTTGCTGGGCATTATTTATTTTTAAATAACTGTTTCCTGATGAAGTATTTGCACTGAAGATGTCAAGAGGTTTTGATGTGCATTTGCAACCTCTGGGAAGATAGAATGTCCAACTGGTGAGGGCCTGAACCATTCTTGCCAAGGTGTGAGGGTTTTTTCCCTCTTAGGGTTTTCAATGCTCTAATCTTATTTGAGATCAGTTAGAAAGCACAATACTATCCTGCCAACCAAATACTCAGCTACAGCATTGTCTGCTGGTACTTCTTGACTTGGGAAGGTAAGGAGATGGGACAGAGGAGTTCATGATGACTCCCAGAGGTGGAGGACCATGGCCATCTTAGAATTTCTAGAGTGGACACTTATGCGGATCCTTGGGTACCGGCAGGGTGGACTGCTGCTTCAGGGTGAGCCCTGGGTGGGGGCTGTGTGACAGCGGTAAAGGCTTTGTAGGACGCAGAAGAAGTCAATGAGCATAGCTGCTAGGTGTGGCCAGTTCTGCCCTGGTTCCTGTAGGCATCACCCCTGGGTGCATCGTTTGTTCCAACTGTTCTATTGAAATCTTGAAGCAGACAACACCTGGGAAACTGGAACTGTGCTGATCCGACTGGACTTTCTCTGGTGACATGAGCTTGACACTGGACGGTAGCCTTGAGCTCTTTGCTTTTTTCACTGTGAGAGTGTTTCTTGCTCCTTGAACTCTGTCCCTGGTATGGCTGGATACTAGACTCTGACCCCAGGGAACCTGTTTGATGTTCCTGTTGGCACATATCCTGATGCATCTGAATTCTGGGCTTGTGTTCTTTTTCTGGGGCTCAGGATGGTAATACTTTCATACACACCTAAGTTCTGAGTTTCTCAGAGGCATCTGGTCACCAGCCAAAGGATTTGGTGCATTTGGATGCCAAAGCCAAAATGTCATGTTAGGGAAGATAAAGTATCAGTTCCAATCACCTGTCTCGAAATCAGCCATGTCTGAGACGATCAGGTCCTTCAGTCCATCCCTTCACACAAGGCTGGGCTGCCCTCACCCGTCTCAGGTGGAGGTTCCTTTGAAAGTTCTCCAGGAGATGAGATTCCACACGCTTCTCAATCAGCTCTTCCTGGCCAAGAAAAAGAAGAGCTTTTTCAGTTTGGAAAACTCCAAATGGTATATCATTGAAGGTAAGCCCCTTCTAAATATCTACACTTAGTAATTTTGATCCTATTTGAATGGAAGCAAAGATCTTTTAAAGCCCCTGGTCTTATTTCTCCATTCTCTCCCCAGGCATGAGGTGTGTTCTCACATGTCTGGGGGTGCAGCCTTGCCAGCCTCCATGCCAGGGCTCAGGACGTGGGTTTGGGCATGTGGTCTGTATGCCCCAGACCAAGCAAACCCTTACGTGGAGGTGAGTGTGGCTCTCGGTTAGGAGGACAGATGCCTCAGTCCCTTCTCTGCCTTGCCCCCCGCCTGTTCCACTGTATTTCTCAGTTAAAATAAAATGCTCTCATTGGATGGGTCTGAATTGTGTCCTTTTTTACAGCGTCTTCTGTGAGGCAGCATTTTGTGCTTAGATCCTGGTGGACTTCCACGGGCAAGACCCTCTTCCTTGGATGCCCTGCACTGCTGAGGTGCTCTTTGGATTTTGGTCTGATTCTGCTGAGCCTCGGGGAAGTGGGCATTACAGGTCCTCTCTGGTTCAGGTTGTTTTATGGACTTGTAGCAAGTTTACTCCAAGGATGCACCTTCCATTCTCTTCCCAGCTTTTTCCACCAAGAGTGCCAGTAGCCTTAGAACCAAGACTGTCCTCACTCCCCCTGAGGCCTGGCCTGGCCTCATTCTAAACTTGGTCTTTCTTCTCTGTCACTAGACTGTGTGGTTTGGCATAGAGAGACTTTGCACATGAGAAGACCTTATGTGTATTTATGTAGTCCTTTCCGCTTTTCATTTGCATTACTTCTTTTTGGTTCTGAAACCATACTCCATGCTGCTGTCCTGTGGGTGACCTGAGGGGCATAGTCAATACCAAGGAGTCTGCCATCTTTTTGAGGACAGCCAGCGAGCATGTATAAGTAAGGGGAAGAACTAAAGTGGAATCCATAAAGTAATCTTTATGATAAATCTAGAGCCCCACGAATTAAAAAAAAAAAAGTCTATTAGGCAAACTGTAATCAAGCAAAGTGAACAAGATAAAATGAAATTCTAGCCACACATAAAATGCAAATGGAAATCAGGGAAGAAAGCAGGCTATAAATTCTTAAAATCCATATTTTTTTATTCAAAACTGTCATAGGTTTTACACACTAGTGGTTTTGCTGGCCACTTGGAAAGAAATGGGCATTTTGGAAGGAAAGCTTTAACCTTCTCTTGGAATTTGGTCATCATTCTGGAAAAATGTTCTTCGAATGAAGTTTAGTTAGTTATTTATACCCTTCAAATTAATAAATAACTTAAAAGATAATCTATAGGCTTCCCCTTGTCTGGGCCTAATTGGGCAGACATTGCCCATGAAAGGCTTGTTTTGATAAATTTTAACCATAGCTGGCCTCCTCTGAATGGTAGGGAATACTCCAGCAACTCAGGTTCCAGACGTGAGGCCCGCAGGTTCAGTGTCAAGGCAGGCAATTCAGGTTGTGCGGGAGAACAGGTGGTCTGGGTGGTCGTTCTACTTCTGTGTGGCAGCCGATGAGGAAGGCACTTGAGGTAAGTGTCATAATTGATGGGCATATGATCTTTTAACCCTCCACTGCTTATTTTTTTACTATCAAGAGGTGGTGGGTAGGTTGTTTCCAAATAAGTTCTCAATTACACATCTTTGCCTTTCCATTGTTAGGCCAAGGTGATCCCTGAGCCGTCCTTTTGCATTCAAGGCTTTGACAGGCCCTTCTTTGGGTCTTAACTTTCCTAGAGTGATTACCACAGAAGAACCACTTGCGCAGCCCCAAGTGATTACTATCTAGCTAAGACGGATTGTTCTCACAATTTCTGGAGTTGAAAGCCAGAGAGTACACTAAACTGTGTTAAAATTATGCTTCATCACCACAGTGATAGACTCTCTAGAAACATCCAAGCAGAGGAAACTGATCCACCAAATCTTTGGCGAACATCAACGCCAGTTCCTTAACAGACGCAGGGATGCATTGAGCCTGCCACACACAGTAATCCCGTCCCCCAGAAAATCCTCTTCAGTGAGCCACAGGAGACAGTTATTGTCCAAAAGAAAAGAACCCCATTTCTTTCTCATTCCTTTTAAAGGTGCTGGGCCCAGTTTAAGGCACACCCTACTCCGAGTCCTGATTCCAGTGCATCCTGATGCTCACACTAACCCTTTCTTCCCACATACTCTGATAACTGAGAAGCAGAGATTTTTTACAAAAATATACAACTAAGTCAAAAGTTATTTAGATGTTTGTGGATGATAATGTCACTGTGGCTGGTTCCATCCCTGCCTGTCTCCTTTCTTTGACACAGGAACAGTAATTCTTTCCTAATAGAGTAAAAAAAAAAAAAAGCCCCAAGATATCAGTATGAGGGCAGGATTCACGGATTGCATAATGTAGCAGCTCCCGCTGCTTCTAGAATTTCAAGAGAAAGTTGGAAAAGAGAGAGGCTCAGGGCCCTGGGTATTTGCACTTTTTCCAGGGGCATTCTGGGAAAGGATGACTCACCTGTGTGAAGATACTTATTGCTTTGATTCATGTTTCAAGTCTGCTACATTTTATGCCATAGTTTCGTGAATGATGAATATTTAATCCTGCATATACTGAAAATGAAGGTCAAGTCCTGCTTACTGGTGACTTCAATGCAGACTCCTTTTTCTGAAAGGCAAGCTACCTGCTGTTAGCAGAGTAAAGCTGAAAGGTTATACATTGTTAAAATTTTTCTTAATAACTTTATTTGCTCCAAAATGGCTGGTACACAGTGGGGGGTGCCTGCTGCTTTCTCTTGGCTCCTGGTATCAGCATTGTTGTTTTGGGATGTGGACTTAGGAAGGGGGAGGAATAGCAGCACACATTTTGGAGAGAAATCTAATTTAAGGGCCGGATTCCAGGGTAACAGGGGAGTTACAATGTGAAAATGGCCTTGCCCTAGTCTTTAAAATTTTGAGTTTGTATTCAGCAATTCATCATTTGAAACATCTTCGGTGTGAATATTTTTGGTGTGAATAGTGCTGAATATTTTTCATATGGTAAAATTGCTATAGTTAGTTATGGTCAAGGAAAACTGTTTTTAAGATTGCAATAGAAATGGACCAGACTGTTATCATAGTCTCTAGGGATACCCAGGGCTTTAGCAGAAATGGCCAGTCACCCGACTATTTTACCTGCCCCTTTCTTCACATGGCCAGGCCTCTCTTCCCTCAGCCTGGAAATTCTCAAAAAAAAAATAGAAGGGCAGGTGGTTGGAGGGAACTAACATTCACTGATCATGTGCTTTGTATGAAGTACAGTTCTAAGCACTTTAAAATAAACAATACACACATTCCCATAGGAGTCTTCTAACAACTTGACAGAGTAGGAATTACAGCATTCCCACTTTATAGATGAGGAGGCCAAAGCTGCAACATTGGCCCCAAACCATGTAGCTAATAAATTGTGGAGCCAGGATTTGAATCCAGAGTATCTCAAGGCATTGTTCCCCTTTCAAGGGTTAAGAACTGAAATTCCAGATTTTGGAAGTGATTAAATGGGTTTAATGAGAAGTTGCAAGAATGAGAGGTCCCTCAGCCTCATCCTGCCTTGACTCTCTTGTTCTTCCTTTTGTTCTCCATCTCCTCGTTTCTCACCTTTG